ATCAAACAATTAAGTAATTTAAATAAACATATATTTTCATTCAACTAATTTAAAATTATTATAAGCAATAAATTAATGAAATAAATAACAAATTATAATCAAACAATTAAGTAATTTAAATAAAAAAATATATATTCATTTAACTAATTTCAAAATATTATAACTAAAAATAAATTACATTAAGAACAAATCATAATCAAACAATTAAGTAATTTAAATAAAAATATAGGCATTCAACTAATTTAAAAATATTATAAGCAATAAATTAATTAAATAAATAACAATTTAAATACAAACAATTAAATAATTTAAACAAAAAATAGATATTCATTTAACTAATTTTAAAATAAAAAATAAAAATAAATTACATCAATAACAAATTATAATCAAACAATTAAGTAATTTAAATAAAAATATATATTCATTTAACTAATTTAAAAATATTATAAATAAAAAATTAACTAAATAAATAAAAAATTACAATCAAACAATTAAATAATTTAAAAACAAAATATATATTCATTTACTTAAATTAAAAAATTATAAATAATAATTTTATATTGTCTTCATCATTTCCCAACCTTATTGCTTCTTCTTATGAGTAATTTTCTTCCAATCCTTCACATAAATGGGGAACAGAGTCCACTGCTGACCAAGAAGGTGTACATACTTGTTATACAACTGGTCACCTTTCTTGGTCGGTCGGCCCAATTCATTCAACGGCACAACGACCCGTCCGCTCGTCGTCATAGACAGCTCTCTGGCTGTTAGCCTCCTATAGGACTTGTTCCCCTCAGAGTCTGCAAAATTTAATTAAGAAATTAATTATATATTAATGAATTAAAACAATTTCTATATAAATTAAATAGTTGCCAAATTTAAAAAAGTTAAACAAATACTTACTCTCAAATTCCATTTTAAAATCGATCTAGTGTCTGGGAGCAGGACGTTGCTCAGTATGGGGATTCTCATTCCCCTAAACCTGCTCCTCCTACTCCTTCTCCTCACCAACATCACCATGGGGTTGTTCATCCCCCGAAAAATGAGCCTCCTCAGTCTATTGGATATCATCGTGCTCCATAAAGCTCAGGATATCCTCCTCGTTCAGATTGTAGTTATGAATGCTCGGGAATGGCTCACCAACATCATGACCGCCGCCACCACGATCCTCACTGGGTCCTACTCTCTCAGGATCAATCAGCTCCTTCCTTGGTCGACGACTCATCCTAATAATAGCAAATAGCAATTGTAATGAAAAATATATTTTACAACTAACAATTATTCAAAATAAATAATCATATCAAATAATAATTATTTCTATTAACTCTAAATAATAATATCAAATAATGTTAATTGAAAAACAGATATTCCTATATTTAAATTTCCTGTTAACTCATAAAAAAAATATAACTACTTCTATTAACTCTAAAAAAAGTAGCCTACTATAAAAGAAAATTTCTATTAACTCTAACTAAATTAAGCTAGTCTATCAAAGTTAATATAAAAAATATAATAAAATAAATAAAATAAAAAATAAAAAATAAAAAAAATTATTTATAAATAAATTACTATTCTTACCTGAAAATATGGATTTGCAACTAGATCTGGATATACTTCGTGGAGAGAATTTAGTAGAGCTCTGCTTCAAAATTCGCCAAACAGTGAAAATAACACGGTGGGGGGTATATATAGGCTGCGATTTTCTAGCGGTTTTACAAGAACTGCTAGAATTTTCTAGCGGTTTAAGCAAAGCAGCTAGAAATTTCTAGCTGTTACGCTGCGCCACCTCCTGTATTCAGCCACGTGTCACAACTCTTCAGGAAAAATAAAAACTTTCTAGCGGTTTCTCTTAAAACTGCTAGAAAGTTTGTTGAATTACTAGCGGTTTAGTAACCGCTAGAGAATGGAACGACAATTTGCATTCTCTAGCGGTTCTATCATCTGAATCGCTAGAAAATAAACGCTAGAAGTTTGGCGCGAACTTCGCGCCAAAACACGTGAACAATTCTGGCGGTCACTTTCTAGTGGTTTACTGATAACCGCTAGAAAATTGTGGGGCCCACACTGTTTCTGATCAAAGCGCTACGAATTTCTTGCGGTTTGTTTTAAAACCGCTAGAAATGTATTAATTTGTAGCGGTTTTGTGTAACCGTTAGAAGTGTTTCGCTGATAATTCTACTTTTTTTTTTATAGTGACCTATCAATCTAGGCATAATTATAAGCTATGTTAACAATCATTCAATTTAAACATCAACACTAAACCTTAAACTTTCTTAATTTCCCTTTTCTTTTGATTTTTAACATGATTATTTCTCCTTGGATTCCAACAATCTCTTGCTTCATTCCTACACAATTTTTTACGTAGAATCCAAATATCTAATTAGATTTATGAAAATCAAACTCTTTTCCCTTTAATCTGTCTTGGCCGCATATGGGGCATATATGTTCTAAAAATTCTATTTTTGATTCCAATGATTTTAAACACTTTCTTTTAGTGTTTTCCTACAAGAAAACATATTTTAAACTCATTGAAATCATCAAATCATAGCAAAACAAACTTCTGTCCCAAAATTTCTTCTTGGCCGAATTGGTGCATAAGAAAACCTAAGCTGGTTTTCTTCCAAAAATTAATCCAAACACTATTTAAACATACTTATTTAACTTCATATTTAAGGTTTCTATCCTTTTCTAAAGTCTAAGCATGCTGGCCAAATTTAAACAGTGTTTCCCCCATGAATTTTAATTCAAAAACCTAACCAAAACAAGCTTTAATCTTAACCATAATAGAGCTTAGACATACTTTGGTAAATTCTTGATGATTTCTTATCCAAAAGCACTTATCCAATTCAGGTTTCAGCTCAAAAAAATGTTTTGGCAGCACCTCCCCTTGTGTTACCAATTTTCTACCTATTTTCACATATCTAGGGGGTATTTATAGGCAAAATAATCCACCTTCTCCCTCACTATTCAGACATGTGATTGTGCCACATAAGAGGGACACATGACTGCCATCAAGTGCTGAAATTTTCAGATCATGCTAAGTGTGGAAATCCTAGAATATTCCCTTGATATTTATATAGGTTAAATTCCAATTTAATTAAGGGTCCAGATTTTTGCACGAAATTGGACCTTATCTAGGCCCAATGTGGGGCCCACTTCTGGTTTAGGATGACCCTAAAAGATGGCCCACAAACCAAATCACAATTTCAAACCATTTTGAAACTTTATAAGTTACTATTCACTTGTAATATTCCATAATTTTTCTAGGCCTTCAAAAATACATTTATCTCCATCAAAAAATCTTATTTTAATATAAGGATATGATCTGAAAATTTTTAGCATTTTTTTCTACCTCTAACTATTTATTTTGAATTTTTCCCGATTAGGCCTTTATTGGTAAAATTGCGGGAGAATAAATTTTCTAAGATTAATTCCTGTGCTTCTAAGACCTGAAACCAATTTTATAAATTCTCAGAAATATTTAAATAATTAATCCATATTTCTCTTAGAATTATTGAGGTCTCTAGCTATTTAAAATAATTATTTTCCTTCAATTTTTCATTGTTTTCTCGAAAAACCTCCGTGTTTGGAAAATTCTGTAATAATTCATTTTTACACCAATTTCACCTCTAGGGCCTCCATTGAGATTCCAAAACCTCTAATTCACCAATTTTCTATTTTTTAAAAAAATTTTAGAATTTTTCTCAAATTTTTCTATTTTATCCTTCTTGGACCAATAAATTTAAAAATACGGTTCGGACCATTTTTGGGTCTCACACAATGCCTAGTTTTTTTAGCCAATCTTCTTTCCTATTGGCCCTTAACCAAATTTTTTATCCATTTTATCAATGCTAAATTCGACGGCATGTAACAAGTATTGCCCTGCCCAGCTTAATCCATGCGCAGCCCTATTTTTCTCCATTACGATTGTGGTTTGCCAGTTCGCTACCTTCAGCGACATTGTTCTATTCATGCTCTCGGAATTTTTTGGTCCATGAAATCATGGAATAGGAAATAAAATGAAATAAATTTTTTTTTTGAAATGAAAAAGATAGTTATTATTAACTGATAATAACATATTTATAAAATACCTTTCCAATTTTTCATATAAAAGCTACCTAATAGATTTGTCTAGATTACAAAAATTAAATAAATTAGTTAATTATAAGGGAGAATGACAAAAAAAGAAGTTAAAAATTATTAAATCTCAAATTAGGTTTGATAACAACACTTTATTTGGTATTGATAATACAAAATTTGCAAATGATAAGATTTTTTTTTCTTGCATTCCTTATCTGATATTTATAAATTTTCAGCTTCTTTTTCTTGTGTCATTTTTCCTAATTATAACCTGTATGATATAATCAACTTAAAATTCCTTATATATAACATTACATTATGTAATAAAACTAATAAATGTAGATACAAGGTGAAAGGTTTTCACTATGTCCAGAAGTGAATATAATATTCTAGTGCTTTAATAGTAAGCTCATCATCAATGGATGAGATACATAAAATTAAAGGGTAAATAAAGCTATAAAGAATTGCGTAATCCCTCAGACATACGTGCTAGAGATCATCAAATTACAATGCCACAAATTGAATTATATATATAATTATGATATGAAGTGATGGAATTCAAAGATTTAATATTTTTAAATATGTTATTATCCGTTAATAATTACTATATTTTGTATATTATTTTTCTAATTTAAAAGCATACAATACACTGTAGGCGCGGGGGGAGTACAGTCTGGCAGACGCGGGGGGAGTACACACGCAATGGCAGGCAGGCAGACGCGGAGAAACGCGGGACCTCCCCTTGGGGCAGCCCGGCAGAAGCATCTGGAAAACCTAAAACCTCTTGGAGTTCCTCCTTATTTTAACCCATCAACCTACAGGGCACAGGGCAATTACCATCGCTCTTTAGTATCTCTCTAGTCTCTACTCTGATCCCCCTCCCGATTCCTTCTTTTCCTCCTAGTAACCTCCGCTGCGATATGGTACTGGCTACTGAGAAAACCAAGCTCCTCTCTCTGGCCGACTTCAGCCGCCTCCTGGCCCAGGACATAGAGGTCGACATGTCGGGCCTCATGGCATGCAGTGATGAGTTCGTCTTGTTAGTGCCTCTCAGAGGCCCTAAAATTGCCGTTTTCTCCGCCGAGACCACTCGGAACGATGTCATCAGCACAGCACTAACTGATATGGGAGCCGAAGTTCGCAGGTGCTTCCGCAACATCTCCCCCGCCTCCGCTCCGGAGGGGAAGACTCTTGAGGAGTACTGGCGGGGTATCGACCGCGCGCTTGATTGTGGCCCCGATCTGATAGTTGACGACTGCGGTGACGCAACACTCTTGATCCATGAGGGTGTGAAAGCTGAAAAGATTTATGCCAGGACTGGTCAGTTGCCAAACCCCTCTCTCGCCGATACTGCCGAGTTCCAGATTGTTCTCACCATTATCAGGGATGGGCTGAACTCTGATTCCACGAGGTACCGCAACATGAAGGACAGGCTCGTTGGTGTCACTGTGGAGACCACCGCTGGTATTGACAGGCTTAACCGGCTGCAAGCTAATGGAGCTCTGTTGTTTCCTGCCATTAATGTCAACCACTGTTTCACCAAGAGCATGGTTAGGATCATTTAGTTTTAGATCTCTTTCAGATTTTGAAATTTTTGTTAGCGGTCAGAGAGTTGATTTTTTCATTCAGATCTGATGAGTCTGAACTTTCGTACACTTTGTAATTAAATTCCCGCGTAGGCACATCTCCTATTTTTTTTCTCATCCTCGTCTCTTCCCTAGTGATCATGGAACTCTGTTGTTTCCTGCCATTAATGACAACCGCTGTTTCACCTAGAGCACGGTTAGGATCATTTAGTTTTAGATCTGTTTCAGATTTTGAAATTTTTGTTAGCGGTTAGAAAGTTGATTTTTTCATTCAGATCTGATGAGTTTGAACTTTCGTACAATTTGCAATTAAATTCCTCTACTTGTGGCGTGGGCACATCTCCTATTTTTTCTCATTTTCTTGTCTCTTCCTCAGTCACAAGAATCCGTCTCCACTTAGAAACAACACACTTTGACGTTCGGGTCGCGACCAGCACACCGGCTTCTGATTTATTTTTCGCAGATCTGGAACGAAAATGTTAATCTCCTCCAGCCGCACCGCATTATCTCGCCTTGTTGCTTCTGTGGTTAATTACAGATCTGAGATTCTGGGAGGAGGGGTTGCGGGGTTCCGAGGAAGAGAACTTCTCATGTCGGCGGTGGTGGCAGTGGCAGATCTGCTGCACTGAGAGGCCGGCTGGGACGTAGAGAAGAAGGACTAAGCTTGAACAGAAATCAAAAGAGGAAAAAAAACGAAATATAAAAAAAAAAAAAAGTTACAATATTTATATTTAGATTTTTAGGTTGTAATTTTTTACGCTGTTTTAATGAATTTGCCTCTGTATAAAAAAATTACAATACTTATATTTAGATTTTTAGGTTGTAATCTTTTTTATGCTGTTTTAATGAATTTGCCTTTGCATCAAAAAATTACAATACTTGCATTTAGATTTTTAGGTTGTAATTTTCTTACGCTTTTTAAATGAATTTGCCTTTGCATAAAAAAATTACAATATTTATATTTAGATTTTTAGGTTGCAATCGTTTTACCTGTTTTAATGAATTTGCCTTTGCATAAAAAAAAATTACAATATTTATATCAGAAATATTAATTCCTAATTTATGAATCTCAAAAAACCTATCCCGTCACTTGTATTTGATAAAATATTTTTATATACATTTTAAAGCATCAGTTTATTTATATATTGACTAAATTTTATAATTTTATCTCATCATTTTTATAATTATAAGATAAATATTAACATATAGATGTCATGAAACTCGGTCAAAAAAATACGTATCAGGAAAAAATATATACATATCATGTTATGATATAATAATTTTGTTGTCATGTTTTGACTTCCAATATTGATTTCAAAAAAATATATAATGATATAATGTTGGCCAAGACCTCCCCATTTTTGGAAGGAAGGAAAACATGTGAAATTGAAAAAAAAAAAAAAAAAGTTCTATACCTCTTCTCCCCTTCATTTTATTTCCGGCCAAACACACTTACCGTTTCCCCCCACCTCCCTCCAAAAGCCCCAGCCAAACAGGGCCAAGAGGACGGGAAAGAACAGGAGAGATCCCGCGACCATTTTATTTGCCAAATGCTGGCTGGGGCGTGCTCTAAATTTTCATAATCAACTAATTTCGCAGTTCTCAGCTTTTAGTTGTTTTACAAACTCTGCTGTGTTTGACTTTTCGCAATGGTCTCGTAAAACCTTGTGTCCATTTATATCCTGTTGCTAGTTTTGGAAAAACTCGTTAACATCATTATTATTATAATTACATATCTGATATGCTGCATGTTTGTGTGAACAGTTCAGTGAGTCGACCGATTTCCTCTACGCTCTTTTTAATGGCATAAGGGAAGCTACCAACAGGATGATTCCGGTGACACAAGCCGTTGTGTGTGGATACGAAGATGCCAGCGAGGGATATGCTATTGCACTAAAGCAGGCTGGCGCTAAAGTGGCTGTGCTCGAGGTTGATCCCAACCTCGCTACTCAAGCTGTCCTCCGAGGTTTCTCAGTGGTCAAGACCCTTGACGATGTTGTTTCTAAAGCTGACGTACTGGTCATCTCCTGCAACAACATGAACAATATCGCTGCGGTTAAGCTGCACTTAAAGAAGATGAAGAACGACGCCATTATTTACGATGTGGATTCAATATTATCGGACCATAGTAACAACGCCCTATGCTGGACACAAGCACATCTAAAGGGTCAATTCTCACGCCGACAAATGGGTCTTTCCTGATACTAACTCCAGCATCATCGTACTGAGAAAGAAAGAATACCTGTCTCGATCTTGCACAAGACCTGTGGTTGCTATGCTTGAGTTGTGGAGCAAGAGAGGGACAGGCAAGTACGAGAGGAAGGTTTATGACATGCCGGAGCATCTTGAAGAGAAGGTGTCTGCTCTTCACCTTGCCCAGCTTAAGAAGGCGACGTCCGCGACCGGAAAAGAGACCAAAGCACAGGGTGGTCAGTACTCTCTGCCCATAGACGATCAGGGAGATGCGTTGGCTAAAACTGCCGAGCCAAAGATGAGTCGTACGAAGAGGATGCTACTCATGACTGTTCAAGCTTGCTCTCTGCTAGGCGTTATTGCTCTGGGTCTTAGCAAGGCTTCCGAAATTAAAGTTGAGCTTTCCTTGTGCGCTATTTGGGGTAATTAGAGGGTGAGAGGAAGGGACACTGAGCTTCTTTGTTGTAATAAAACTGGATTGAGTTTGTTGTTGTTGTTTTTATTTATTTATTTGTTTTTTGTTTGGGTAATATTAGAGAGGCTTTGGGTCATATATATGTCCGGGAGTTCTGTGAAATCTCTATATATGAACCCCTTCATTGATGAAACCTCTTTATCCTGCAGAATCAGTTATCTATTGAAAAATTCAACACTCAGATCCGTAGTTATTTTTTCTTCCCTTATGCTATAATAATAACAGAAAAGGGGAAAAAAAAATCATTTTCATGTGATTGTTCCAACTCAACTCCAGACGTAGTAAATCGCATTCGCAGTTTGAATTCTAGCATTATCAAAGGAGACATCAGTGCTGATCCTTAGTTTCCTCGCCATGTGCTTTTGCTCTTCGTCTTCGATTTCTAAACAAATTACGCCAAAAAGGAATCAGATGAGTATAAGTAATAGCACATGTTTATTTTCATGTTTTCCCATTTTTGCACACATAGATTGATTTGGCAATATATATATATATATATATATATATATATATATATAAAGCTACATTCCATTTATACTTGGGTAACACAGCAATCTGTGTTTTTTTATGTAGACATTAATCTTAATTTTAGTACATTAGCACTCTACTGGGGTAGCAAATGCAATTGAAAAAAATAACATTGAGGTACTGATGCGTCAAGGAAATAAGACTAGGGTGTTAGGAAAACCTGCAGAACAACAAAAATATACGGTTAAACATTGAGGCACTGATGCGTCAAGGAAATAAGACTATGCTGTTAGGAAAACCTGCAAAACAACAAAAATATACGGTTAAAGTCGTGTCATAGAGATACTGTTCTTATTACAAGATATTCCGCAAACCCCCCCCCCCCAATGAATTAGGAAGCAACACTCCTCAAGATTAAATGAATCTTTCTTGTAATGCTATAGGGTGACAGGACAACAAAGAAAGATTAAAAAAAAAAACCCTCAGTAAGGGACAAAAAATTTCTTCTTATGATTCATTCAAATAGATCGATGGTGAGGGTATTTATAGATAATGAAGTGATGCTTTGAAGTAGTATCTTTTGAAGTAATATACTTCTTCAATTAAAAATTATAACGATATGTTAGATTCATGAGTCTCATAAATTTTTTAATTTATAAGCGCATGATTCATCTCTTCAGATTAAAAATATTTAAACAATATTGAATCGACTCTTTCTTTAACACATCTATACACAATATTAATAATATTCACAACACAGGTGCCATAAAAAAAATTAGGATATTAGATCAACCTGAAAAATAAAGTCAAGATGCTACACGGTTGCTCTTTATACCTTTGTTAATTAAGCAGATGTAACTCTCACGCATTAAAGACAAGAGTCTGCTGAATAAGTTGTTGCATTCAATGCTACGGGCCCGGTTTGACGCGTGGGATTAAGGGGTTTCAATTGGGCGATGCTAACGTTCATGCTTTCGAATTATTGAAAGGAAAAAAGAAACAAAAAGAAAAAAACACCTTTGATGTTTTCGAATAAGATGGGAGCCCTAATCCTATCGCTCATGCGATTCCATGATAAACCTCCCGTCCTAGATATAAATATAAGATCTCTTTCGTAGTATAATTTATACTATAAAAATAATCTTATATTTAAGACCGCGTGAATACCACCAACGATATTAGAAGATTAGTCATAGGATTGAACATTTTCTTACCGAATTATGGCGGTAATGTTTTTCAAATTCCTATTTTGCCCAATCCCAAGCCTCTCTTCCCCCGCCTCTTGATTTCCTTCCTCCACTCTCCAGTCGCCATTTGCTACTCGCCGACGAGAGAGAAACAACTACCAGCGAGGGAGGAGCAAGTAATTACAGTCCGATCTGCTTTCTCCGTTGTCCCACCGCGAACATGTGACCAGTCCCAAGCCAGTGAAGCTTCAGGTGAGCTGTGAACAAAACCAAAAGCTTCGAACCCCATGACTGAACCCCAAACCAACGAAGCTTCAGACAAGCCGTGAACAGATCCTAAAAGGAGCAAGACGATGGAGAAGAAGCTAATTAGCACATGAGAGAAAGCTATTAAATAATCAATAACATATGCAAATGTATGAAAGTAATCTCACGCCTTTCGACGATGATGGAGACGAGTAAGGTCCATGTGGTCCTATGGAAGTGAAGATATCGGTAGCGGAAGCTCTAGAGAGATGAAGCAAATCCCATGAAGGTGAACAGCAGACCAACTCTGCAGAGGGTTGATCAGATCTCCTGGTTTTTGGGGTCCTATAATTCTCCTCTCCATTTTGTCTTTATATTTAGGACAGGAGGAATATATCAGAAAGCTAGCATGGGTTTTCACAGGGGCAGAAATAGAAGGCGTAACAAGTTTTGAATGAGAGAGGGAAGGGCGATTATGGCTGCCGGAACAAACCGACGCCGCGGGACAAGAAGATGGACCAAGCCCCGCTGCTGGAGGAGATCTGGATCGGAGACAAAGAGGTCAAAACCCTAGAGGAAGTTACCCCTATAATACTCCTCCGGTCCTTAATATAAGACCTATTTAACTAATTTGATTAGATTAAAGAAGTTAGGTAAGTTACTTAATTATTAAAAATATGACACGTTTTTCCTAAAACACCATAATTATCTTTCTTAATACCCCCTCTCTTCTACTTGATTATTGTTGAGAGAATATCCATAGGGATAATTTAGAGAAAATTGATAAATATGAGAAATGAGTCTTATATTTAGGATCAAAACCAACTCAATAATTGGGTCCTATATTAAGGACCAAAAGAGTATTTTTTTTAGGGCTATTCTAGTCTTTTTAATAATTTATACGTGATTATGAAATCAAATTAAAGTAGGTGTTCCTTTATATTACTCCATACAAACCTAATTTTGAAACCTCAATTTCACAGCTGGAAGTGGGAATGGAACTATGAGTTTATTACATATTTTTTAAAATGGGTTAAAACGCAAAAATATTCATAAATTTTTAGCAAATGTGTGGCTAGTATTATAAACTTTTCTTATATATAAAAATGTTAACGAATTTTTATGAATAGGACAAAAATATCAACTCCATTAACTTCTGCAAACTTCTGTACTTTTTATTTTGGTAGGCCTTGCACTATTGTTTTTAAATGATTATTTTATTAACCAAAAACTCCTTCCACACTCTCTCTTCTCTCACCTTCTACCATCAATCAAACACGTCCTATCTTTCTCTCTCTTATTTTTAACTTCTCAACTCTCTTGGTCCTTCTCTTCAACCAGAATTCCATTGCCCATTATGAGTGTGTTTGAATTAACGGTGACAAAACTGATTTTTCCAAACTGAAGTTAGAGTAAAAGTCAATTAGTATAATGTGATTTTTGTTTAAATTGCCATTTATAAAAAATCATTTGAAAAAATGAAAATTATTTAGGATAATTAATTAAAAAAATAAGTTTAGATATAAAATGACTGAAAAAGACATGAACTTTATTGGATAATAGTATTTTGTATTATATGATATTAATGTAATAATTGTTGAGAAAATAATTAAAATTAAAATTATAAAATAAAATGTTTGTTAGTGAGAAAAATTTAAAAATACATGGTAGATAACTAAATATATTTTTAGCAAAGAAAATTAAATATATAAAATGGATAAACATAAATATAAATTAAGATTCATTAAAATTGAAATTTCTTGAACTAAATAATATTGCATAGCTAATTGGATCATAAGCTTTGTACAATTTACTCTCTAATTGAGTCATGAACACGATTCATTTATGCGAAAGATGTTAAACTTGACGAGGATGCCTCATCAGCTACATAATTATTGTCATAGTCAATTACACTTTCATATTCACATATTTAGCTTGTATGAAGTGGTCATTGGTTCAAGAATTTTTCCTAATAAAATTATTCACAGCCATTGTTACACAAACTATGCAGACTTGTATTTGAAATTTGAATTTAAGCATATCTCTTAAGATTGCAAACCTATTCTTCCAAACCCCAAAAGTTCTTTCAATAGTGCCACTCAAACTTGAATGATAGTAATTGAAGGCCTCATTTTTATTTCTAAATCTTGGTTGGTGGCTAAAGTTTGGAAGATGATAGCACTCACGTCTATACGGGCCAAGGTATTTCATTAGTGTTGGATGACCAACATCAACCAAACAATATTTGCCTAATGAATGATGAAATTATTAGTTGATGTCAAATTAGTGCAATTGAGAAATGGTTTCAAAATAATTGAATTGAAACTTATAGTAACATACCTTAAGGTAGATGGGAGAAATTCATGAATGGAGTTGAGATAGCACTATGAAACACAAGGGCATATTGCAGGCTACCTTCCCATCTTGCCAACATGAAAGTGAAGCGTATATCCCAATCATATATATCCATGACATTTTGAGTTAGATATCTTTTTCTTCCAATACATTTGTCTTAGCCATCATGACCAACCTTACAGTTTATATAGGTGCCATCAATTGATCTTATTGTATCCTTACGGGCATATTGCGCGCTACCTTCCCACCTCACCAACATGAAAGTGAAGCGTATATCC